TTTTGCTCTACTCAAATTAATCTCACCTTTAAGAAAGGGGACATAACATTTGCGGTTCATGATGCATATTGGTGGATTTTGTGTTTCTGAGATATCTTTTGACCAGCTGCAGAGCAATTCTGGAATATGCCTCCTACCATGTAGTATTCTAACGCTCTGATGCAGGTACTCAGGCTCAAACAATGAAGAACATCTAGAGGCTAGATGTGTGGTGATAAAGAGTACATATTAGAATATGTATCTCTAGTAACATTTAGCCGCATATCTGCATATCTAACTTGATTGTAACTCATTCACCTACGAACATAGTAACATTTAATTAGTTAAGTTATATGAGTCTTAGATTGCCTTTGTAGAATTGGGATCATAAAAATTGCATGGCACAGCTTTTTGATGGAGATTTAAGGCAATGCATTTTAGATATCTAGCTGAGAGCGTGATGCTGCTGCTTTCCCCCTGGCATTGTTGTAATAATAGTAATGGCTATTCCAAGTGGAATATATTATGTTTCTGCAAAGAATTCTTTATAAATCAATACAAGGAGAAGTTGCCAATGATGACTGATTAAAGAATGAACATTGGGGAAAGGAAAAAGAGTATGCACAGGAAACAAGTAGGGCTTCTCAAGTGCTGAGCAAGTCAAACTGAGAATGCTTTGCATTAGGTAGGAAATAAGGGAGTTGTACAGCTGGCCTAATTCATAGGCCTAGCTGAAAGACTTCTGAGAATGAGGTGACATTTTTTGGTGAAATAATTGTTCTTGAGAAGCACCGGTCTTCCTGTGAACCTTTCATCCTCTACTCTCATTTCTTTTGCATACTGAAAACATCATTACTTAAGGGGGAATCTCTGATTATGTACTCAGAAATTCAAATCCCAAGTATTTCTTTCTTTGTTGGAGTCCTACTCAAGGGTATAAGTAATAATTGTCAGAAGAGCCCCATTTGATGGAAATTTGAACTGTGGCAAGCAAATCATTCTATGCTCACTTGGAAACACTTAGTCACAACCACTTGTCCGGTCTGTTTGTGGGAGCAGATTATGCTTGAGAGCTGCCAGTGTGCTTCCGAATGTAATTCTTACTCTATGTTATGGAAAATAAACCAAAGTACTTAGGAACTAACAACATCTTTGAATACAAAATTCAAGTGCATTGTTCAATTTGGGACTGGCGAGGGATGAAGAGGGACAAAGCAGAAAATGGATGTTCTAATTTCCCTTCTTCTCCAGATGGAGGCATTTAAAGGAATTAGGGTCCCTAAAACAAACCAGTGGTGCTTGTAATATGGAGACCACACATTACTGTATGAGATACAGGAAATGTTTTTGCTCTGATTTTTGCCTTTTTATATATTTTCTAACCTAGTTTTTGTGATATGACTTGTTTAGACAAGGCAAATTTTACACATAACACATAAATACACACAGGTGCACACACACAGAAATGTAGATAAAGGAGTATATTATGTAATTTCTTAAGAGAAATAAATTCAACAAATACTCAAAAGGAAAGTATAGGAGAATGACTTTGTATTTGTGTACATATTTTACTGCTTTACTTTGGTTGTTTTTCTGCTTTCATCAGGAAGATGTTTCATAGATGTTGTGGCAAGTTGATAGTAAATGATCTTTCAACTCAGAAAAAAAAATGAATGCAAGTAACTAATCAAATAAGCTGGCCTCTGGTTAGTGAGAAAGTTCAACTGTCTGGTAGAGTTTAAAAATCAATAGTGGGTCTTCTAAATTTGACTAAATATAAAATTCAAGACAAATATCAGAAAAAGTAGATGATTTAGAATCTATAAAAGATACATGCATCAGAGCAATGGAGGATATTTCATGACAGGAATATAAAACTTACTCAGAAAAAAAAAAAGAACAAAATTACTAAATACCAGTAGAAGAGTTACTAAAAAAAAAAAAGTGATTTGTTATCAACATTCTTATACTTATGGTAATGTATTTTATCTTATATTTGCTTCATTGTCTTCTGCATATCATCTTGTGGAAGCATCCCCAGAAAGAGGAACCCTGCTCTGTAAAAACCTTCTCACCTAAGATTCTCCAAACCGTGGGCCTCCAGAGCAGTATTGTTCAGAGCTCCACTTAGGCTACTTCACAAGTATATATGTGAACCCTGATTGCTTTGAAAAAAGTATGTTTTCTTTCAAAACTACAGTTTCTTCATTTATGCAGGGGGTCTGTTCATAATGCCTAGGTCATATCATTTAATTCTCTTTAAAGGAAGATTAAAATATTTCACCTAATGTATACAACATCTAGAACAGAGTGACCATTGTGTATTATTATGGTGTAACATAAGAGCTCATATAGCTATTATGGTTATGTATTGGTTTAAACCACTTTGTTTATTTGTTGACTAATAATGAGGTCATGATCTTATAATGATTCATGTATAGAGTGCAGATATTTCATGGAACATGTATTGTATTGAAATCACTTTGCTTGTTATTATATAATAGAAAAATGAATATAACATCATCCCTTTTTTTCAGCTTTAATTGAGTTTATTGGTACATTTTAGGGATACAGTACAGTTACATTCATTGTTGGGATCTTGTACCTCTACATGGCAAGTCTTGCTTCTCATTTTTTCCCCTTACCTCTGCCCTCCCTTCACCCCCCCATCCCCATCTACAAACACTTTATTTCCAACATCATCCCTTTTAAAAAACTTATGATTAAACAAAATATTCAATGACTGTCCACAAATGACTCTGAGGTAAAATTATGATAGGCAAAATAAAGTAGAAAAATACACTCTAGTGCTAAGAAGAGAAAGGAGGTATCATGTGACTTTTTGAAGAGTCAACAATATGGTAATTATTTTCACAATTGCTAATTTCTAATCAAAAGCACTCTTGCAGAGCTAAACAAATAGATCTTTTAAAACAGAGATATCACAAGATGATTTATTAAAACTATTTACAATATTCACTTGAAATCACTTTTGTTAAAAATAAATGGAAAGGAAAATAGACAAAAAAAAAAACTATTGTAAAATGTTAAGACTCGATGACCACATTTTGCTTAAGGAGAGAAGACTCATTGAAAAGAAATCTATATCTGATTAAAATATGAGCTATCCCATTAATCACACAATATGTTAGATAATAAACTGTGGTTGTTAACTTGATGTGCACCATTGAACATGGAGGAAAAATATAACATAGGCAGACAAGTGCACCAGTGCATACCAATGTAATAGCTCGTGGATATATTCTTCTTGTAAATATGACTGTAGCATACCCAGTATCTTGCTGAATTATGCTATAAAATGTTATTCTTTAAGTCACAGAGATTAACGGGGTAGATTTTTCAACACTGGCAAAAATCATGCATTTAAATAGAAGAAACAGACATAAATACATTCCACTCAGAGTCTGTCATTCTAATAATTCGTTTCATTTTCCATTGACAATTTTTTAATGTTTTGAAAAAAAAGGAGAAGCCAATGCCACCTTCCACTGATACATAATTATGTGAATTAATTTCAAGGACCCATTTAAACTATAAGCAAGGATATTTAACTGTCTTTGCTGTGTGGATCTAGTAAGTGTGTCCTGAAAATTTGCTGTTAGCAAAAATATAAAAGAATAAAACTAATGCATTCTAGAGGGACAATCCCACTTTTAGAAAATACTTAGAGTTATGTAATTTTTTCTGAAAATATACAAAAATTAAAATAAAAAGACTTAAAAATAATTTTGATATTGTGCTGTGTTCCAATTTCCTAACAAAGTAACACGAATCGCAGGAACTACACCCAAGTTTTCTTGTGATTGTTGTTTTTCTTATACTGTGTGAAATTACTGTTGTTAGTCATGTGTGGTTACTAAATACTTGAAATGTGGCTGTTCTGAACTGAAATGGGAGATAAGTATGAAACACACCCTAGGTTTCAATGACTTAATCCATAACAACATAAAATATCTTCATCATAAATGTTTAATAAAATTTATCCATGTCATTTATTTCTTTTTTAAAAATGGAAATGTAGCTGGGGATTTAGCTCAGTGGTTCTGCCGCCTGCCTCACAAGCGCAGAGACCTGAGTTTGATCCAGGGTACCTAAAACAAAACAAAACAAAAACTAAACAAAAAACAATGGAGTTGTAAATTTTTAATTATATATGTGATTTGCATTTGTACCATGTACTGTTTCTATGACAGTGCTTTTATGTGATTCATAAAGTAAGCCACTGATAAAATAACATTCTGAGCAAAGAATGCAGACTTCCTCAGAACCATTAAAAGTGACTCACAATCTGATCAAAAAAGCTGTTTATTTTAGGTTGTAGGTAAGTGGTTGTATATAAAACATATAATTTAAAATATATTATGTTTGAAAAAAGGTCACAAGAAAAATAGTATACCATCATGTATGTTTGTGTGGAAAGGGTTAGTGATATTAATATAATCATATTAATAAAGAGACTATTACAAAGGAAAATCTCCTCCATATGGTCTGAAAGTCCATTGAAAATTTATTTTCTTACTGAAAAATTTTAAATTCAAAAATCAATATATAAGAATCTTTTCCCAAGCCTCTCTCATCTGTCATTACAAAAACAAAACAGGACCTCCTTTCTGACACAAAAAAATATGAAATATCTTCTTTTTCTTTATAATGTTATATATGTGTAAAAAAAGGGATTAAGGAGAAGAAATGTCCTAGAGGTAGTCACAGCAGATAGTATAATAGATGACTGAGGATTTATTGCTTTGGGTTACTTCAATAAGCTGGCTTTGGGTTGGTAAACTAATAACTAAATCCTTATCATCTAATACTATATATGTTGAGCCATTCGTTTGCATTTCTAAGAATAGGCTTTCATTTGTATTTATATTTTTATTTTATTTATTCATTTGTTTTTGGTACTGGGGATCAAACCCGGTCCTTGCACTTGCAAGACAGGAAGCAGAAGCACTGAGCTAAATCCCCGGCCCTGTATTTTTAAAATACTGCTTATCTTTCAGGCATCATTTTCATAGGAGTTCAGAGCACAGAAGTTTTTCCCTGAGGCATGGAGCTGTCACACAAACCAGAAGTCATCATGGGAAAGGGAAGTCTTCGGAAGTAGTTTTCATGTGTTTGCATGCATTGGGAATGATCATTCTCTGATATGTCTTTTTCAGAAAGCTTTAAGCCTTTTAGAGACCACTGCTCAGCTTGGGGATATGGGCCAGACCTGAGGGTTTATCTATAAGGAGTTGGCAAAGTTAATGATGCTATCTTTGAATGTCTGAAGGAAGAAACAACTTGTGGGTTTTAAACCTCTGCTATCCAGCAAAGGGAGGCCCAAGAAATATGTGGTGGTTCAACATTTAAAATTCAGCTAATGCAACAGATAAACAGAATTTTTATTTTAAGATTACAACAATTTTAAAGTAAATTTACTTTTGACATTAATAGGTAAATTATATTTAAAAAATTTTTTTGAAGTTCTGGGGAGCAGATTCAGATCCTTTTCCATGGGTAATTAGGCACTCTGTCTTTCAGCTACACCTTTTTAAAAGTAAATTTGTGTTTAAAAACCCGTGCTGGATTTAATGATTGCAATACCTTTAAATTTGGAATAACTTTAGATTTGGCTTTTAAGTTGCATATTTTGTTATATCTAGATAAAGATCACATATTTCTAATCAAACATCTGATTAAGATGTGCTAGACATATGGACAGATGCAGATTTTGAAGGACTTATTTGTAAAATAAATATAATAGTGTCGGTAATAATTTTATATGGATTACAATTAAAATGTGATTATTTAAGTTAGTTGGGTTAAAATGTGTAATTAAAATTAATTTTACCTTTTTTTCCTTAAATTTGATTTTACCTGTTTTTTCTCTCCCTTTCTTCCTCTCCCTCCTTCCCTCCCTTCCTTCCCTTTTTCTTTCTTTCTTTCTTTCTTTCTTTCTTTCTTTTTCTTTCTTTCTTTCTTTCTTTCTTTCTTTCTTTCTTTCTTCCTTTCTTTCTTTTTCTTTCTTTCTTTCTTTCTTTCTTTCTTTCTTTCTTTCTTTCTTCCTTTCTTTCTTTCTTTTTCTTTCTTCCCTTCGTTCCTTCCTTTCTCTTTCTCTTTTCCTTCCTTTCTTTTTTTTCTTTCTATCTTTCTCTTTCCTTCCCTCCTTCCTTCCTTCCTTTTTTCTCTCCTTTCTTTTGAGACAGGGTCTCACTATGTTGCCAGTCTGGCCTTGTACTCATGGGCTCAAGTATTCCTCCTGCTTCAGTCTCCCAAGTACCTGAAACTGCAGGTATCTGCTGCTTCATCTGGCCTCTTTTTAGTTTTCTTAATATAGTTATTAGAAAACTTAAAAGTATAAGTTTAACATTACCTTTCTATCGGACAGTACAGTTTAAATTGTGGGAGACAACATATTGGAAAGATCTTTGAGATACAAAGACCATAAATAAGATATGGTTACAACAAGGAGCAAGTACTGACAAAAGAGTGAGGTGAGAAGCAACTGACTAAAAGACAAGCAGGTTCTGATCCTGCTGTGCTGTCAGATCAGGTACTTGTGATGCCTAAACTGACTTAAGGGCTCAGGATCAAAGATCTGTCGGCTTTCACTTTTTTGTGTGTTTTATGACAACTGACAAACAAACATGCTATGCTTTAATAATTATTATTTTAATTTTATTTAAACAAGCACTACTGCCCTGCCCGGATTTAGCTCAGTGATTCTGTCACTTGCCTCACAAGCACAAGGTCCTGAGTTTGATCCCCGGTACCAAAAAACAAAACAAAAGAAAACAAAACTGCATTTTAATCTCCTTTGAGCCTCCTACCAGGAGTGGAATGAATTGCATGGAGGCATACAAAGGATTTTATCAAAAGATATTCACCAGAATTATAGGACACAAAAAGACTGTAACTTTTTCTTGCATTTCTTTCATGAAAATATCATTGGCTTTTAGACAGGACTTGATACATTTTAATAAGCACTGCATCACAAACCATGTTTAATACCTTTCACTCTTTTATTTTTTTAAACTCTCTTTGGACTACGTTTTTTGTCCAGACTGAGCTTATTAGTTATAGAAACAAGTTAATAAATGATGTCTTGTTGTCTTGAAAGTAATTCTGAATGTGCCAAATATAAAACAAGGAAGTGTTTTTATTCACTAGAAAATCTTGTCGAACATTTTCTGACACCATTAGTAAGATAAAAAGAGTGTGGATGTAAAAGGAAGCATTAATTCTGAGTCATGAAGAGCCTGAGCTTATTAGTACTGGGAGCAGAAATCAAGAAGGGCCACCTCAACAGAAGACTGACGAAGCCTCATTAGATAAAAGCTTCGAGTTTCAAGATTAATTCCTCACAGAAAGCCCTACAACCATCTAAAGCGAATGCTAGATAAACTTACATACCTACCAGTGTGCCCTTTTGTTTGGAGAGATTTGGTATTTGTTTTCTCCTTCAGACAAAGATGTGTGCCCAAGCATAAAGTTATCTTGTGCACTTAGCAGTGTTAGATGCGGAAATGCAAATCTGAAAGCCTGCAGATAGGTAGACCCCTTGAGATGAAATATAGTGCACAGTGTCATCTATCTTGTAGAAACCTACTTCATTCTTTCTCGGTTTTACCCTAGCTATTGCCCTTTCACACAATATTGATATTAAATCAAATTTTTTTGGTTGGTTGCAAAACAAAAACATGAATCTTGAATTTAGAGAAAGCAGAGGCTCAATGCAATGTTTCAAAAATTCCTGTATTTAGTTTTCCTGTACTTATATTAACTCTATTCTAAAGTCCCTGGAGTGTGGTAGCTGCAAACAATATCAAGGTGGCCTTTAACTTCACAGGCTGCTGGCCATTAAGCTGCCTAAGATTTTAAAGATCAAGACAGGCTACAGTGGGGAGTACAGCAAACAAAGTGGTAGAAATAATACTATCTGGGGTATACTCAATTCCAAATGATAGCATCCACTAATGCTTTCCCTGATACAACTATACATGAATTCAGCTTTTATTTATTCTTTCATTGCAAGACACTGTCATGAGCTCTTGAAATAGGAACATTAGGAAAAAGTAATAGACATGGTTACTGACTTCTTGGAATTAAATATTAATTCATAGTACATAATATCCCTTATTTTCTGTAAAGCTAGCAAAGAGTGTGCAATGCTGCAGTTTCATTTGAAATGGTAAAATAATAAGGAAATTCAGAAAAATCTTCCTTAAGTGACATTTAATTGGATGCAAATTTCCATGATATACTGCTATATCCTGTGAAAGTGAAGATAAACACAGCATGATTCTTATCTCTGAAGAGTTCATGTCTAGGAAAGTGGCATGAAAACCAATAATGGCCATCTATAAAAAGGACTCTATAGAGACATGTGAATTATAGTAGATACCAAAGACTGAGAGTAATTAATTCTATATTGAAATCTTAAGAAAGGATTTATAAGAGAAGCTTAGATGTAAGGTTTGAAAACCATTACTTTTGAAGCCTGAAGACTACCAGACAATTTAGACAAAGGACAACAGAGCAAGTAATACCTTGGAGTAAGAAAAAGCCCAATATGTTCAGCAAACTATAAGTAAAGAGGGGAAGGCCTAAGAAGGCTCTTGGCTACATGGGAGACCATACAGAGAACATGCTGAAAATTTTGAGGGATGCAAAATGTTCTATAAAAGAGTCTATACTTCTCCAATTGAAGTACGTAATGGAGGGTTCTAATCAGGGATTTGATTTGGATCTGTGCTTTAAGACTGATCATTCTTGGGGTTAAAGGAAGGATGAATTAGGCTGTTGGAGAGGCTGGACACACAGAAACTGATGAGAGATCACTGTAAAAGCCCCTGAGAGAGAAGGGAAGGACTTCAATGGTGGCAGTAGATGGAGGTGATTTAAGAGATATTTAGAAGTGAAAATCAATGCTAAATGAAGAGTGACTGGCTAAGATGAAGAGAGGATTTAAGAATATATTGAAATTTCTGTTAAGATAATTTACCTTCTGTGTAATTTATGGTATCAGAGATGCCAGAACCAGCCAGCGGAAAGACATATGAGTTGAAGTTTGAATACTGGCTCCTTTGTAAGTTAATGTGCTTGAAAGAAGTTATTCAAACTCATCATTTTTTCATTTATGCAAAAAATGGCTTAAATAATATTGTAGGATTCTTAAGAAGACAGCTATGAAAGTGTTTAGCAAAGCATCTTGTCCATAACCCAAATTCAACATATATTTTCTTTATGGAATCGAAAGATGATCTTAATTATGATATATTTTATGGGATAAGAAATTGTTTACGATGAGTTTAATCTAAGCATGAGGAATCTGAAACTGTTATTATCTAGGTGGGTGTATTTAGCGTGTATTCACAGATAAAGGCTGAAGACTTGGAAGCAGGGTGGAATCTAAAGCTAAGAATTTGGAGATATAAATATTACATGGTAATTTAATTCATAGTAGTGGATGACACTCATTCAGGAGTAAAGCAAGGAAAGATTGGAATGAGTGCTCTCTTACCCACTATCTAAAAGGGAAGCAGAAGAAGAGGGAGAGCTCCCCAAAGTACCCAAGTCGTGGTTTAAATAATAGAAAATTCTCAAAAATAAGAACAAAACCTGACTCCTGTACCACAAGACGACTACTTTAGAAAGGAAACTATAGCATTCTGAGAAATCTTAGAGTTGACAAATAGTTTGTAGAATAAAGAGAAATTTTTGACAGCCTTAGAATGGTTTCTATATAGTAGAGAAGAAAAGAATGCAGAATGTGGTGAAGTGAGAGGAAAAGCAAAAAAAAAAAAAAAGGAAATTGTCACGGAACTTGACAATGTTCTTCGAAGAAGCTTGGCATAGAGATCTACGCTGGTAGTTAGAAGTGAATTCAGGATGAAAAGACTACTTGACAATGATACAGAATGTGAGTAAAGAGCTCATACTGAGGAAGAGGAAGGAGGGAAACAAGTGAAGTAACGTTCTATAAGAGACTTCAAGTCAGATCATACAAATCATGAGATAAAGCATGAATTCAAGGTCCAAGAAGGCAGAACTTGCCTTCCAGTCAGAATGTAAGAGAGTAAGCTTAGAAATAATTTAATACTTAGAAGCTAATAAACTCCCAGCC